TTTCTGGAATATTTCTGTATACATCTGCATACATCAAGCGAGAATCCCAGGTGGGTATATCCGAAAGCGGGTTCGGTTTTAATCCTTAACTAGGACATTGCGGTCAAGTTAGCTTTATATTCAGATTTCCGGCTGTAATATCTTTCAACAAAAGCAAGCAACACTGCTTGGTTTTCCAGATTTCTTAATGGGCACATTTTAATTCAATGTTGGTGTGTGCACTACACATTCAATAGTCCAGGTGTCCAATTTATAGTAACTGGCAGTGAATGGACAGGGTGCAATTAATAAATACATAAAAGCATTTATGAAAGTTACATGGTGTGCATTGTCCCCCATAATTTAATGCTTGAAGCACATTTAACTGGACATGTATGTATTTAAGTTTATACTTATCAGTGCATTAATTCTATCTTTTGTACTTACAACGGAAACAGTACAGATATTAGTAAAGAAAAGTATTGCAAGGTTAAACGGACACAGTATAGTTGTTATAACACAAAACTATTGCAAGGGAACTCAAAACAATTTCAAAAAATTTCCATCCTGACCTCTTAGGGGCTTTGTATACCGCAACTGATGTATAGAAAACAATAAGTCACAAATACACAACTATCCATAAATACGTATTTTTAGTTGTGTTGTATAAAATCATATACAGAAAAATATGGAGCAATTTGTACATGTGAAAAGGGTTTTGCATATTTGTGGATCACTTCCTGTCTATTTGTGGATCATGTTACATTTTTGACTTTCCTCCTGTTTATGGATCTTTGTCTAATTCATACAAAGGCTGAGCTGCAGAAAAAAAAATAAAAATAAAAAACACAACTATTGTAGCACCACTGGGCCTGATCCTCGCGTGTCATAGCCATTGTGTAATTACCCACCGAGTGTGTGCCTTGTTGTGCTTAGTACTATTTCCCTGCTGTTCATTGTTTGTGATGTTGCTGCTTGTTGAGTGGCCCTTCTAAGGACCTGTGGTCCTTAGAAGTTGTGGTCCTGAAAAGCAACTTCATGCAATTCCGTGCCTCTTCGTCTTTATTCACCGCTTCCGCGATGCCCGGCACTACAATATCACTATCCACAAGTGTGTATTTATTTGTATTGTAAAAAATCATATCCACAAAAATATGAAGCGATTTGTACCCCAGAAAGGGGTTTTACGCATCTGTGAATCACGCAACGTCACTTTTTTTTTTGCAGATTGTCAAAATCGTACAGCAGCTGATCTCTAGGGAAAAAAAATCCACAAATATGAAGTGCAGTTGTGATATATCGGATCAGGATATGAGATTCTGGTCATATTGCACAGCCCTATCCAAGGGTGTTCAATACATGGTGTTAAATGCAATGCACAAGTCTCTTGAAATACCCTCCCCTGTTACATCAGCTAATAATGACTACTTTCCACTATTTTCCTGTGCACCTAAATTCCACTCATTATATAAATTGTATATGGAAATCTTAAAATTTCAAACAGGAAAAAATAAAAAGATTAAAACACACACAGCTAATGGATCCACCAGTAGCCAGACACTTAACCAAACATAGCAGACAGACCACAAAAACGAGAGAGAATAAAATGAGGGAAAAATGTACTTACGGAGGGCTCTTACGACCAGCTTTGTAGCGACCAGATCGTTCTTTGCTGCGGGAGCTACTGCGGTGTCGGCGCTCTTTGCTATGGCTTTGCTTTTTTTCACAGCTCCTACTTCGCTTCCGGTCACGATTCTTTTTGTGCTCCTTGCTTGTACTTCGTCCCTTATCATGACTTCGGCTACGACTCCTGCTTTTGCTCCTTTTTTTCCTTCAAAAATAAATATATTTCTAAGCATACAAATTACATACCAAGGTGTGCTGATCAAACAAATCATGTTGATACTAACAAAAACAGATTATCATGCCTTGTGAGCACTTCAACCGAAAGGTTAACAAAAAGCTTTCAGACTAAATTCACACACAGACCATTACTATTCATTACAAGTCTCAATTCAGCAGTTCTTTATCAAGTCAGTGTTTACAGAGCTGTGGACATTTTCTTAGAGAAGGCAAGAACAGATCCAATACTGTAAATGTTCCTCAGATCCTTAAGGACATAACAGCTAAGAATAGCATTCAATAAAACGAATAAAAAAACAAAAAAAACACAATTGTACAGTTCAGTTCTGACAGGAAACAGGGTTACTAACCACGTATTTTTTCTATATTACAACTGATTACATTTTTGGCATGCAGAGGGAGGAACCCTTTAGCATTACAGGTTAGCCAAAATTTGGAGGCCCATCCATAAGCCAGATATTAGTGACATTAATGCAGCTCCTTTCTAGCACGCATTCAGTTGACACAACAGCAGCAAACGGCAGCAAATTTTCATTTTAGTCAGTCTTGACTAAAATGTAATTTAGTTCGTTATAATTTAGTCAACTAAATTATTTTAGTTTAAGTCTAGTTTTAGTTGACTATAAGCTTACAGTTGACTAAAACTACCGTTGATTTAGTCGACTAAAATTAAAAGTGTTTAAAGTTTCCCTTTGATTTCTGAAAGTCATTATGTTCACTAAGATTAAATGAAACTAGGGCTGCACGATTTGGGGAAAATATCGAATCGCGATTTTTCTGATGAAATTGCGATTATGATTTGATTTGCGATTTAATTTTTTTTATGTCAAGCTTCAGATCAATATTCAGTG